GGTCAAACCCAGGGCCTTGCACATGCTAGGCAAGCACTTTGGGGCTGAGCTACAGTCCAGTCCCTTGTCTGTTGTAAGGCAAAGTCCCCCTATGCAGCCTAGGCTGGCGTACAATTTGTTATATAGATTAGGTTGGCTCTTCATCTTCTAGTTTCTATCTCTGGAATGTTGAAGAAATACGTCTCTGATTGTTGTAAAATATGCACAATTGAACTGTATCATTTTAATCATGTCAAGCATACAATTCAATGACATTTAGTGCATTCCTATCACTGTGCAACCTCCACCACCCACATGCAGAACTTTCACTATCCCAAAGGGAAAGAAATACATCACAATGCAGAGATACCTGGTCCTGTTTGGGTGTTGCCATGTAAACAAGTCAAAGAACAATACTGAGTGATTTTCAAGGTATTTCTCCTATTGTACTTGCTTATGTATGAGCCTGCCCCATGGGCTGATGCATTTCCAGCGCTTTGTGAATAGTTCTTGGAAGGCTACTTTCTTCTTCTCAGTTTTATCAACCAGAGACCAAGTGGTTTTGTGTGTTCTTGTTGTTGTTATTTAAAAAATTCTTTTCCAGCATGAGATAGCTGTTTGAAACCTGGGACTTATACAGGGACGCTTGGCTCAATCTGGGAGGAGGGGACTGGACCTTCCTGGACTGAGTCTATCAGGTCGGATCTCAGTCCTCGGGGATGGCCTTGATCTGGAGGTGGTGGGAATGGGGGATGGGCTGGGGGGAAGGAGAGGGGGGCAGGAAGGGGTGAACAAGGGAATCTGTGGCTGTTATGTAGAACTGAATAGTATTGTAAAATAAAATAAATATAAAAAAAATAAAAATAAAAACACTAAAAAAAAAAATTCTTTTCCAGCTCACCTTTCGCTATTTCCTCATTCAAATCACATTCTCTTTCATAATTCTCAAAGAAACACCGAGACTATCTGACCTTTGCCCCAACCCCTCCTCCTAAAATGCTGTCATTTCCTCCTATGCCTGACAAACATATTCCATTAACTCTTTTACCAAATTTATTGATCACTTACTCTTGCTAGGTTCTAGAATCTTCAGAAGGGGTGGCTATTTGTCCTTAGATATTTGTTCAGGTATTAATTCCATTTGTAACTTCAGACTGTCTTCCTTTTGTGCTTCTGTTCGCCACTGCTATGACCTGAGGCACTTTCGGCTATTTATACATTTCTGGAGTCTCTCCTTATTTCATCTTCCTTCATATCCTTGCCATATCTATTTAACTGAATGCTCCTGGAAACCCAGGCTCTGTTTTGTGCAACCTTGCATCTTCTGGACCTTGTATACCCTTTCCCCATCCTCTGACACCTACTTAATATTGGCTGAATGGCCCTAAGGTTATAATTAAATTACATCTGCTACTTCCAGATCCTGGCAGGGTTAGCTGGGGATGTAGCTCAGACAGGAGAGTGCCTGTCCAGCATGCATAGAGCCCTGGGTCTGACCCCCAGCATCGCATAGACAGGACATGGTACTACAGGTGTGTAATATTGCTCACCTGTAAATGTATTACACACTCAGGAAGTAGAGGCAGGAGAATCCACATTTCAAGGTCTTCCTTGGCTACAGAACAAGTTCAAGGCCAGCCTGGGATACACAGATCCTGTCTGTGAATAAATATGTAAATTAAGGTCACAGCACCTTAACACTCTGTAGGTTTGGCCGTGTTTAGTTAATAGCTGTAGTAGGTAGAGAAAATGAGGTGGACACTTTTGAAGTCACATGCATATGACGGATTTATGATATTAATTGAACAGGTGTGTCAGGACTGGTGAATGTTGACTCCTCCCTAAAAAATGGACTCCCTTTCTTATTAATGAAGTTAGACGCGGTGCAGTGTAAATCTCCCAATGCTTGTTGCTATCTTTTCATACATGCTAATGAGGACACGTGCTCTGGTGTGGTGGTGGTGGTAGAAGTCATTTCTCTAGCAGTGGGGAAAATAGCATCAGTACGTGGACCCCTGCTGACTAAGCTCACATTTTTATGGTTTTTTTTTTTTTTAAAGATTTATATTAGCAGACTAATAAAATCACTGAGTGTATTAAATAAAAAGCACGCCATTGCAAAGGTTATAAGCCTCCTCTCTTTGACATCTTATAGGTGAGTGACATATAGACTGGCTCCCCACGGCTCCCTCTTCCACACAGTGGCTGCCATTTTCATTTTTGGTGTCTATTAAAATTTAATCACAGAACACTCAGAGAGACTCCAGAGTTCTCAATAACGATGGAAAGATGAATTTTGAAACAGGATGGCGTGGTGGTGCTCGTCTCCTCTACACTGTTCATGTTTAACGGTTAGAAACTAGGCTGGCAGCCTCATTCACTAAGAGAGAACGTTCTGAAAATGCAACCTTAGATTTTTGTGATCGAGCCTATGTCATTTCCTAAACTCTAGAGACAAGGAAAGTGGGTAGGATAAATCCTCTCGCTTGTCTGCTATCTGCAAGCTATGATTTGAGCTCCTCCTCAAAGTGAAGCATGCATTATCTTTTCCAAGTCCTGATGGTTGGTTGATATCTGGTCTGGCCATAGCTTAATGATGGCAAAACGCATGCAGGGCACTGTGAAGGTTCATGGTATACACATCTACTGTCTTCTTTTTAAAATGTCAGTCTAAACACGTTTAAAAACTCAGTGGTGGTGAGGGGAACAAGGAGATGCCTTAGCAGTGTATGCCTGAGGGCCTGAGCAAGCCTCAGAACCCAAGGTGGAAGAAAGGGAACCAACTCCTACAAGTTGTCCTCTAACCTCCCCAAGGCTACTGTGGCATACACATCTGCACTCACACACATATCACACACACACACACACACACACACACACACACACACACACACACACACTAATATATTAAATTTAAAAGATAAATTCATGAGCAAAACATTTGTATGTATTAGTTCATATGAGTATTGAAATACAACAGTTTCCTAAGAAGAAAGTTGAGGATAATATGGCATTTCCCCAGTCATTCATAATAGGCAGGAGCCAGGGTACTGATTAGTTAGTAGAAGGATAGTTGCTGAATCAACCTAGAACTGAAGGCCAAAAATGGGTGAGGCCATGGCTCTTGTCATAGCCAGATAGAAATCTGGCCACATCCTCAGCAACGCTGATAGTCAATGTTTTATTTTTGCACTGTAGAAAAAGATATGGTCTTATGATTTCTCTTCTTTCTTTGATTTCTTTGCTTTTTCCTAGCATCCCTTCTACTAATTATCTATCTATCTATCTATCTATCTATCTATCTATCTATCTATCTATCTATCTATCTATCTATCTGCCTGTCTATCTATCTATCTGCCTGCCTATCTATCCATCTATCTATCTATCTATCTATCTATCTATCTATCTATCTATCTATCTATCTATCTATCTATCTATCTATCTATCTACCTATCTGTAGATGTAACCAACCGTCTTATTAAATAAGAAACACAGAACCAATGTAAAAGAGAAAGCCAAGAGATCAGAGCTCAGAGCTAAAATCTCACCCTTCCTCCTGCGGTGGTTCCAGCTTCCCGAAAGAAAGCTATTTCCCTGTGTGTAAGTCCTTTCATAGTCATTCTGCCTTCTCATTGGTTGTAAACCCAAACACGTGACTGCCTCATCACTGTCTGTATGTACAGCCCCCCAGGTCTTAAAGGCATATGTTTCCAATGCTGGCTGTATCCCTGAACACACAGAGATCTATGGGGTTAAAGGTGTGCGCCACCACTGCCACACTCTGTCTATGGCTCTAATAGCTCTGACCCCTGGGCAACTTTATTTATTAACATACAATCAAAATCACATTTCAGTACAATTAGAATACCACCACACCTATCTATCATCTGTGTAGTAGAATATTATTTTAAGGTGTGTTACTTTTGTTTTGTTGCATTTGTTTAACTCTGTGAAGCTGTGTTACTGTGTTTGTCTAAAACACCTGATGGTCTAATAAAGAACTGGCCAATAGCAAAGCAGGAGAAAGGATAGATGGGGCTGGAAGGCAGAGAGAATAGATAGAAGGAGATACCTGAGAAGAGAGATCTAGGAGCAAGAGAAGGAGGAGGACTCCAGGGGCCAGCCACACAACCAGCAACTGAGTAAGAAAGAAAGGTACAAGCCCAGAGGCAAAAGATTGATAGGATAATTTAAGTTAAGGACACCTGACAAGAAACAAGCCAAGCTAAGGCCAGGCATTCATAATTAAGAATAAGCCTCTGTGTGTGATTTATTTGGAAGCTGGGTGGTGGGTCCCCCAAAAGAGCAAAAACAGACAAGAACACATCTGTCTGTCTATATATATACACACAAAAACAAAACAAACAGTATAAATATGTGTATGTCCATGCTACAGAGAGCTCAGTTGGAGATCAGAGGACATCTTGCATTGAGTTCATCCTCTCCTTCTACTATGTGCATCTCAGAGATTAAACTTGGGTCATCCGGCCTGGCGGCAAGTTCCTTTACCCACTGAGCCATCTCCCCAGCCCTGCTAGTTATCTGTATTCTGATACCATATTTATTAGCAAAGATGAAAGAACTTACTCTAGTTTTCACTTCCAATTTCTCTAAATGTATTCATGCATCCAACTGTTTCCCCACTTCGGGCTCCCAGCTAACTCTTTCTACCCTTCTTCCCATACTCTGTTGTAACACGGATTCTAATTGGTCTTAATAATAAAAACCCGGAGTCAGATATAGGGGTAAACGCTGAAAGACCAGAGAGACAAAGGAGTAAGCCACGGCCATTTCTTACCTCTACCAAATCCTCAGACTGAAAGTGGCCGAGCTCCTGTCTCCACCCTGCCTTATGACTCTTTCTGCCCAGCCTTATCACTTCCTGTTTCCTTCTCTTAAATCCTAGGATTAAAGGCACGAGATCCCAAGTGCTGGGATTAAAGGTGTGTGCCACCACTGCCTGGCCTCTCGTGGCTAGCTCCACACTCTGTGAGGGGGTTAATGGGACGCGCGTGGCCGGGTGCTTGTGGCCCACAGTGGCCACAGCGACAGAAGAGAGCGCTGGATGCTGCGGTGGCGGAAGAATCATGAGCCATGGTTACCTTTTTAGAGCTTTCTTAGGAGGAAGGGGAGAGAGAGAGAGAGAGAGAGAGAGAGACAGAGACAGAGACAGAGAAAGAGAGACAGAGACAGACAGAGAGAAAGGAAGAGAAAGAGAGAGACAGAGAAAGAGAGAGGCAGAGAGAGGGAGAGAGAGGGAGAGAGACCACACGGAGGGGAAGTACAGAGGGGATACGGAAAGAGAGCCATGGGCGGGCATGCCCGTTTTTTAGGCTGGGACACCGTCTCAGGCTGATGACGTAATAAGGACATAATCCTTACACTATGATCTCCAGGCAAGCTTTATTTGTTAGAGCACAAACAAACTATCACCATGCTCACCTGTTCCTGGGACTGGGTCTGTATTCTATGTTTTTGTGTCTCAATATAGACACCAAGAAGGGTTGGGGCACAGATCTTGTCCTGTTCCTTATTTTGTCCCAGAGGAAGATGGAATTTCCATTTACCCAGTGGTTGTGTCGTATGGAGACAGTGTCGGATGACTTTCTGCTGTTGTGGCCACTGACAATGCCATGGGGACTAGACCTGCCTGAAGGACTAGACCTTCCATTGCCTAGTGCTGGCCCCTGAGTAAGTCACACACACTTCGTAACTTATTATCTTATCTCTCTCCTCTCAAAAGTAGGAACAACGTGCATCCCTCATGGAGCCAATGCCAGTGTTACCCAGAAAGCCTGACGCGAAGCTTGCTCTGGAACTAACGCTTACTGAGTGACCCCAGCAGGTAGGGCTCACAAGACGTCATGAACCCGTAGCTCCTCATCCCTCCCTCCATTCCTCAGCCCCACGTGCACGTTTGCCTCCTTTGGGGTTAAAGCAGAAGGATAAACTCTGACTGTTGCCGGGGTGGAGAGAAGGGAGGGCAAAAGCCAGATAAGACATCAGGACAGCAGCCAGTGGTCTGGAGCTCACCCGCGTGCCAGTCCCAGAAAGCTGCTGTGCTGGGCTCCACCCTGAGACACAGCCCAGAACGCCACTGCAGGCCGGCTGCCTCCAGCTTCCCTATGTCATGCTCATGAGCGGGAGGTTCCATCCTACAGATGAAAGGCGCTCTCTAATAAATTCCTCAAGCCTGTGGCTAGAGAGTGGGGTTGTACACGGATGCCCCTTCCGTGTGCTTAGTGACACGCATCTCTTGCCATCTTAGGGCTCTCTGTGCCCACCCCAGTGTCTGTGTTACTGATATTGGCGGGGTTCATGCTCTCTGAAACGGTCCTTCTTCCTCAGTTTGCAAACGCTTGCTCTTCTCGTTCATTCCAGTGCTGCAATGTAAAACTATATTTACCCTTTATTTCACAGAAACCCCACTTTGGGAGGAAATAAGCCAACTGACTGACCCAACAGGAAGTACCTGTAGGCTGACAGGGGTTTGGGCCCAGATTCCCCTGACCCAGTTGAAGCCTTAACTTCTTGGCTAACCCCCACAAAGGGCCTGAGCCCATTAAGGCACATTGTTAGAGGCACCAGGCCTCACAAAAGTATGGGGCTCCTTGTCCCAGTGACATTCTGTGCGGACCAGACCCAGTATGTGGAATTGAGTCTGTTCTTGCAGGTGCCGTCTCTCTGTGACAGGGCGGAATGAGGTTTTTCCGTAACACAGCGTGAAATGGATGAGAGGGAGGCGGGACCCCGGCTAAGGACTCATTTTCCTTGGTGCCATATTTCTTTGCTTGTTATAGTTTCTTTAGACCCTAGAGCTCTTGTCAGCGACCCGTTTTCTGAATGGAGACATCGCTGAGCTTTGAAGTCATCATTTATCCTGCAAGAGCTGCTAAAAGAAGCGCTTTGGAGCTCGCATCCTGGCAAAGGCTGGGAATTCTAAGTCACCTCCCAGGGCTCGGGTAAATTGCAAAGAGGAGCGTCTACTTATCTCAGGGAGTCAATTTTAACTTATTGCTTTTTCCTCTGAAGATAGTTTTCTCAAACATCCCCCCCCCCCCCGTTTTCATTGCACATTCTATCTTAGGTTGTACGAATTAGCTGTTTCTGATTTATTGATGACAAGTAGTTAGCCATGAGGTAACCCGTGACTTCCTTATCATTAACCATTGAGCTAAACACAAGTTTTGAAACTTGGCCTTTGGCAAGCCTAGGGACACATTGCATTTTCCCTAACTACTCAAAGACAATTACATTCCATATAAAAGTCTTTCTTCCTCAGCCTATGAGATGGACAATTAGGAAGCTTGACCTGAACCTCTGTGCCTGGATTCAAGTCCTACTCTTGCCAGTGATTAGAACTGTGACCCTAGGCAAGCTCCTGGGCTTCTCGGTACCTTACTTTTCTTGGTTTGAGGTTAGTCAAGTTCATCCCTTCCTCACAGGGTTGTGGTAGCTAAGAGAGGAGTTCAGATGGGCAAAGACTAGAAGGATGCATGCCATAGAAAGCAAGTATAAGCACAGATTCTTAGTGAACTGTCTTCTTCCTGTTATATTTGCAGAGAGACACACAGACCAGAAAAACGGTGTTTCAAAAAACCAAAACAATAACAACAACAAAAAAGACGAAAACCAAACAGGTATCTTTGGCCTTTATGGCTTAGTTGTTAAGTGGCTATTAGAAGAAAATGCATCTAATGCAAAGATGTTTGCAGATCTCACCAAATGTATTTTGTTAAATATGATCAGTCTTCTGGGTCTGACAATGCGTGATTTGGAATCTCATGCTTTAAAGGTTGAAGTGAAATGTTTTCAACATCCACGTTTGTATAATAAAGCCCATCTGACTGAGTAGAGCTATACTGAGTGGCCGGCACCCTTCTGGTGTCTCCCCATCATCTCTTCTATCCCGTCCTACGTACTCTTGAGAGGCACATATGAGCACACCCTGTGCGAGTTACAGAAAAGAAAGAGAATAAAAACACAGCTCCATCTCCATATGGTATGGCTTTCTCTACACATTGAGTTTTCCGGGTAACTATCTTGTCAAATTTGCCTATTGCGGACAAAACTATTCAGACAATACCCTGTGCCCTCTGATAGGCTGCCCATTTTCCCTAAATGGAACCCCCCTAAAATGTCCCTTTGTTGTAACTCACAAAAAGTCACAAGAGAGCAGTTGAATTGAACAACCAAGTTTTATTAAGAGCCCACTGGAAGAGCAACAATGTTTTCTTGTTTACAATACACACAGAGAGAGAGAGAGAGAGAGAGAGAGAGAGAGAGAGAGAGAGAGAGAGAGAGAGAGAGAGAGAGAGTTTTGTCACATTTGCTCTGGAATTGGTTAGCCAAGCATTTAAGGTTATATGTCTGCATACTGGGTACAACATTCTATCTCCTTCCCAGGAGTTTTAAGTATTACATTCCTAATCTTCACAGTGTGAGGCTAGTAGGACTCTTACCAAACCCATTTTATTAGCAGGCAGTCCAAGGACAATTCGAGAGATTTCGTCAATTCAGAATAAGCCAGGTCAGTCACCTTGTATTCATAATTCACCCATCTGGACTCAAGCCCTTTCATAGTTGAGGCAGGCCTGTGACTGCCATTTCTGTAGCAGGGATGTTGGGTTGGGGGGGGGAGGTCTACAAAGCGTGAAGCCTGAGGCCAGAACACTGTCTCAAATCAACTGTATTCCCTACCTTCAGATCCTACAACCAAGGTCAGGTCCTGTTTGTGTTTTCAAGGTCTGTGTAATCTATAATCTTCTATTCATTTTTATGATTGCCAGGAAGGTCTGTCTGTTTCTGTGAGGGGCGTGAGGATTTCATGAGATCTTAGAGAATGATTTACTCATCACCCTTGCAAGGGGCAGTGTTTGGCAGCTTGGCACAAGCTGGAGTCACCTGGGGAGAACTTCAGGAGAGAATAATGCCTCCATCAGATTTGCCTATAAGCAAGTCTGTGGGGGCATTTTCTTGATTGATGATTGATACGAGAGGGACCAGAACATTGTGGGTAGTGCCACCCGTGGGCAGGTGGTCTTGGAGGATATAGGATATCGGGCTGAGTGAGGCATGGAGAACAAGCCAGTAAACAGTGTTCCTCCATGCTCTGCTTCAATTCCTGCACTGAGTTTCCTGCCTTGAGTTCCTGCCATGGCTTCCCTCAGTGATGACCTGTCACCTGGTGTTGTAAGCGGAAATAAGCCCCGTCCCCTTCAAGTTGTTTATTCTCTTGACGTTTTATCACAGCGATAGAAATCAAACTAGAACAACCATATTCTTAGCAACTTAACCCCGTGCCAGGGTGTAATAAACAATTCGTGCATTCTTTTGATGGAATTCCCTTCTTAAGCAGTTATTTCTAAAGTTATGTTTATATGTGTGGGCCCATTTGTGTGGAGAGGAACATTAGTGTAGGATCCTATAGAGGTTAGAAGAAGGCATTGGTTCCCCTGCAACTGGAGTTATAAGTGTTTGCCAGCCACCTGATGTGTTTGCTGGGAACTGTACTCCCTTTCCCTGGAAGAGCAATGGCTGCTCTTAACCTCCAAGCCGCATCTCCAGCCCCTGCTGTGATTTTTATTCTTATGTGGCTCTACTGACTCTCAGTTGCTGGTGCGGGCTCTGTAGACTTGCTCAGGATTGCTGAGTGACTGCAAAATCCTTTGGGCTGGTGGGAAGCTGCCCGTCGGTCAGTGATTTTAATAGAACTTATTACAGTCTTGCCATGCGACTGTGGTGTTCAGTGCTAACAACTGAGGGAGAGTTTGAAATGTCTGGTAGTCTCTTTGGCAGGAGACTTAAAAATTTAGCTGGTAAGATGGGACTTACACAAGTTAAATGTGAATTTGATAGATGGGTCCCTAGTTCTAAACAAAATGCATTTTTAGAGACTGGGCTAGAAAAGGACTACATGGGAGACTGAGCCTCACCTAGACTGAAAGATGTGACTGAGTAGAGGTGACGCTTACCCTGGGGATGCATGTTCTAACTGAAGTGAGGAACAGCCACTGATGGAACTGCCGTGGGATGTGTGTTAGAGGAGATAGAGGTAAATTATGAAGAATCCTGAAATGTATTTCATGATCTAGAAACCACCTCTGAAGTCAGCCTGGCCCGTGTGGGATGGTGGTAGCCAAAAGAGCAACGACAATCGGTGAGGCTTCGTGGCTGGAGGATGACGTGGGAATCATCCTTGCTCCTCCAACTCCATGGTCTCCATGTCACTCAAACCAATGCTGAAGATTTGATTTAGAAATCCCCCTTCACAGTCAACTTGCTGTCTGCAAGGCAGAGGTTTTCAAACTCGGGTGTAATTTAAATCCTGAGATCCTTTACTTCCTCCTCCTTCTTCTATTCCTTCTTCTCCTCCTTCCTTTTCTTCTCCTCCTTCCTTTTCTTCTTCTTCTTCTCCTCCTTCCTTTTCTTCTTCTTCTTCTTCTTCTTCTTCTTCTTCTTCTTCTTCTTCTTCTTCTTCTTCTTCTTCTTCTTCTTCTTCCTCCTCTCCTTCTCTTCCTTCTTTTTCTTCTTCTTTTTCTTCCTCCTCCTCCTTCCTCTCCCTCCTCCTCCTCTTCCTTCTTCTTCTTCCTCTTCCTCCTCCTCCTCCACCTCTTCTTCTTCTAGTGTTGGGGATGGAGCTGGGATTGTCCATACTGAGTCCCTGATCCTCAGCTACATCCACAGTGCAGGGAGCATTTATCATCAACACTGCATACAACCAATTGACCTAGCCAGCAGTTGGGATCATATTTTAAATGCTAAATTCTGACATCTTCCTCCCATACTACACCTAAATCCTGAGTCAGCAGATTGGGGTCTAGTGAGCTAAAGGTGGTCCATGGACCAAAATCTGTGACAATAGTCAGAAGAATAAGTGGCCAGGGGAAGATTAAGCATCTCAGAAGAAGGACAGCCAAGGAAAAGCACATTGGAAGTAAAGTATACAATTAGCCTCTCTGACTTTTTCAGAGTTTCAAATGCCACTTAGAACCATTCTTTTCTTTTTCAATAATTTGGGCACTTACCTAAATTCGGTAAGTAGAGTTATCTATATTAATGGCAGAGAAATTATTCACTCTCCAGAAGCCCAGGTGGTAAGAATACCGAAGTTCACCTTAATTCAAGGACATACTGAAAGCAGATAATTGAATTTATGTCTCTCTATCTGCCGTGCCCAGAGTAGCTCATTTGAAACTACAATTAGTAGCAAATTGCAGTCAGACCAACTTTCCCAAGAGCTGGTTCATTCTGCTAGGAACCGTTTAAAAGATCAGACTGGTACGGCCACTCAATCAAATGGGTTCATCTAGCACCAGTGGTTTGGGTCTCCCCACCCTTCACAGGCTGCAAGTTGGCCTCTCTTGGCACAAAGCTTAGCTCTGGATTTTGCTACACTTCAAGTTCACTTTAATAGTGCTTAGGGATAGTGCTAGACACTTAGTGACAAAAATTTGAAATGAGGAGCCCTGGAGACAGCTCAGCAGTTGAAAGCACTTGCTTTGTTCTGCTTGCTGCTCTTGCAGAGGACCCAGGTTCAGTTCCCAGCACCCATGTGACGGCTCATGATGACCTGTAACTCCAGGTCCAGGGGAATTCAATGGCCTCTTCTGGCCTTCTCCGTGTGTATGCAGACCCTTGGGCGCATACACATAATAAAAATTTAAAAATGCATTAAAAAATGCAGACTGATTAGAACATAGTGGCACACACTTTGAATCCCAGCACTCAGGAGGCAGAGGCACATGGATCTCTGTGAGTTCAAGGCCAGCCTGGTGTACAGAGTGAGTTCAGAACAGCTGAGGCTACAGGAGTGTACAGAACAGCTAAGTGAGACCCATGACTTGAAACAAACAAGCAAACAGCAGAATGAGAAAATATTCATTCTGACTGTACCTCCAGATGAAGAAGTAAAGAAAAACCCAACTTAGTAGAACCATGCCCAGTTTCTTTAGCAGTATATAGAGGCTCTGTGCACACCCAGGAAGGAAGGAAAGAGGGTCTCAAGGGTGACACTTTCCTGTGTCACCTTTTCTTTCATCATGCATAGTAAAGAAAAACTGGACAGAGTGAGTCACCCCAGAGTTCTGCCCAGTCGGAGGTCTGACTGAGAACTCGGGGGTGGGGTGGGGTGGTGACTGGAACAGAGTTGGAATGTGGGGTGCACAGTGTGGGCCCTGAGTTCTAGATGAATGAGCTTGGTCAGATGCTGAGAAAAATTGTAGAAAACCTTTTGCACCTGGGGGAAAAGCTCCTAGACTACTTTAGGTTCTTTTCACTTTCCACTCTTGTGGAGCTGTACGCTAGTGCATAACCATTCCACCTGAGGTAAAGTCAGAGGGCTCTAACAGCGAAGAAAATAGATTTTAGGACTAATATCACTCCTTTTCCTTTCCTTTTCTTTTTTTTTAATTTGCAAGCAAAAGATACTTGGCTTCGTTTCATGTGATCCTGGCTGGATTTGAAGTCAAGTGTTGGTTAGGGAATGCAGAAGGGGTTCTCAGGATAAATGGGCTGCCTTCATTCCTCTACCTCCAGACATGACCCCTATGGTACCGGGGCTGGAGAAAGAGCTTCTGAGTCCCCAGCCAACGGCCTCAAAGGTAACACTACCTCCTCACGAACAGGCAACCTTCGACTCTCTCAAGCGGAAATTAAGTTGAATTTGGTTTGAAAGCCAACACCTTTTTCAGAAATGCGAAGAATTTCGTTGCTTAGAGTCTGTGCTGGGCACTGAACGGGTGGGTCTCTGGCGGTTCTCCAGGACCACCCTGCTTCTGACTGCCGGCCAGGTGTCTTCCAGAGTCTAGATGAAGAAAACACTTACTAGAAAAGACATTTTATCCATTCGGATTGATACCTCCTTCAAGGTCCTGGTGATGATCTGTGTCCCAAGGTTGGCTGACTTAACAGCTTCAGCTCTGTAAGGAGGATCAGTTTCTCGGGTGAAAGGGAACCAGGTAGGGGGTAGACACCCATGTCTGTTGAAAAGATAAGGTTTGAAACTGATGTCCCTTAAGGTATTCACAACCTACGCTTAGATGCGTTTTGAAGAATCCAGATGGTATGACTTCTTTGTAGGGACTAGATGTGGATGCAAGCCCACAGGAAGGTGTTTGTGTGGTGTGATCTGCATGAGGCTCTCCTGCCTCCTTACTCCTCTTCACTGTGGCTCTACTGAGCAAGCAGGCCAGAGCTTCAGGGGACGCGTCATCTCCAACCTTCTCTGAGTGCTTGTATATTGCTGGTGGTGCTACCAACCATCTGCCTAGCAGCGTTTCCACTGGCTGAATTGTGTGTCTTCCTCCATCCTGTGTCACTGGGCATTCCAAGGACTCAGAAAAGGCAACACGCTGGTCTCTCAAGGTCAGCCCTTCTTGCTTTTTGTTGTTGTTATTTGTTTTTTCGAGATAGGGTTTCTCTATATAGCTCTGGCCATCCTGAAAATCATTGTAGATCAGACTGGCCTCGAACTCACAGAGATCCACTTGTCTCCGCCTCCCGAGTGCCGGGATTAAAGGTGTGTGCCACCAGCACCCTGCACCTTCTTGCTCTTCTAGGCGTATTATGGACTGATCAGATCTCCCAGGCTGCTTTGAGGACTGACTCCTTGTTCCCAGTTCCTTTCTTGTCCTCAGTCACATACCAGCTCATTTTTCATCTAATTTTCAAAATCCCGCCTCCATCTTTATTTTGTAGTTGAGGGCAGTGGGGCTCAGGACACTTGAGCGTCTCCTGTGCACAGCTGGATGGGCACTTGTCTCATGGATTCCTCTGCACCTCCTGTCTTGTCCTTCTTTATGTATGAGAGAGAAGTAAACAGAGATGGAGGGTATGCAATTTGTTCGTGGAGAAATTCATTGGAAGTTTTATTCACGAGAACAGAAACAAGCTAAAGCACAAGTGTTTGTCGAAGCCTCTGTCACCACCTGAGGTTAGGAGCTTTTATTGCTGTTAGTGTTACTGAGAGTGCTTGCTATGGAGACAGGGTCTCAAGGAGCCCAGGCTGGTTTTGAACTCCCTGTGTAGCTGAGGCTGGCCTTGAGCTCGTCAACCTCCTGTGTCTATCCTCCTCCAGGGGCTGGGATTGCGGGCGCGAGCCACCATGCTGCCATGCCTGGCACACAGCTTTTTGTATGCCATCTCATTGGAGCTTTTATCCGTTCTCTGAACTAGGTGTCGGTGTCTAAACGAAATGTGGGAGAGGTGAGAGTTCAAAGAGGTCAAGTGGTCTCTGTTTTGTAGCGATCGCCCGTCTGGGAGGAGCTGTGCTTGGCACCCATGCCTACCTTAGCCAGGGGCTATTCCGTTATGGCATCCTTAGAGAGCTCTGTGGGAAGCGCCATCCTGGACTCTAGAGAGGCAGTCCTGTGAAGTGTGGGGGGTGGGGGTGGGGTGGGGAGGGACAGGGCTTCACAGGACAGCAACACTGAGGGGTGCTTGGCTGTTCCTGGGAGGCTGCCCGGCTGCTCTACTTTCAGCTCGGAAGATATTTTCAGCCTGATGTGACAACAGAAGGAAAGCCAGGATCTTGGTTGGTGTGGTGTTGAGAATGGGGACACCCAATGTGCACGTGCTATGCATATACGCTTTCTGACGTCACGGCTGCTACCAGGAACATAGAGAGAAGGTGGTGGCGGGGCATCCTCTTTCTGGGGGGGATGAAACTCTCAGTCCAGCCTGCCAGGGGGACAAATCCTAAACAAAGGTGCACAGACAATAAGCTCCCAGGAAACACTCGTTCACTGTGTTTTGTGGGGGTGGGCGTGGGGAACACATCAGTGTAGGATGATTTGCCCTCCAGGTGGCCTTCCGGAATGGAGGTGAGAAAAAAGACAATGAGAAGGGAATTTACCTTGTTGTTTGTTGACCAAAGGCAGCCTGGTTAGGGTGGCATCTTTCTTTTTTCCGCTTGTTCCAAGCCTTCATTCGTTATATTTGTCTTTGAAGAAATCCTGACTGTGATCATTGCTACTTTTCCCTCTCTCCAGGGAACTGACTGGGATTCACTTTAAGACGGTAAATTGTCAGAACTTGTTTTTTTTTTTTTTTTTTTCAAAACTTGCAAACTGGTAAAGTGATTTAAATATGAAGAAAGGCCATTGAACTCTTGTGTTTGGTTTTTCCTTTAAAGAGCAGAAGAGTGACTTTAAGGAGATCAGAGGGAGCGAACTGGGGCTATTTTATTAATTCTCATAAGAGAACAAAATCCCAAGAAAGAGCAGGAAGTGATATAAGAATAACAACAGACTGGGGCTGCAAGTTTCCCAGAACTTTTCATTTTCATACACACACGCCTCATTTTCCACACGAGATGCTTGGGAATGCCACCTTCTTACCGTAGCTTTGACAAGGATGGGAGAATCTGTCCACGCACAGGACTTTGATTTCCAGGATTATCAGCAAACGAAAAGCTATAATAGTGTCCCCTTGCCATGGACACGACAGGCTGTGGGATTTCCTTCACAGCACCTCTGCTGCGGTCGCCTGGTGCAGCTGGGAGTGACCTACTTTGCGCCTTCATTACAAGGTTTTGCGTAGGAAATAATAAAGAACAAAATGAGAGGCTCTGATGCTGCAGCAACCTGTCCGTGGAACTCAGCAAGGCTTCTCTGCTTCAAATCCCTAGGCCAGGTTCATGAATTTTGTTTATGGATTCCTTTATTGATATGATGTGTGGCGCCGAGACGTGGATGAAAAATTAAAACATAAATTCATCAGAAGGACCCATCGTGGAGCTAGATGAAAACTCGGACCCTCTGAACTTGCCCACACCTCCTGCCACACAAATAACAAGGTCGTTACTAATCACAAACAAAGGCAGCTCTCTCTCTCTCTCTTCTCCACTGTAAGAGGCTCGAAAGCGGACCTGAGAATACCTGCATAGCTCAAAACATCACTCCCAACATCCCAAACCAAAACAAAAGCAACTTGCTAAAAAGCCGAACAAACAGAGAAGTCAGCCCCCAGCAAACCCTGGTGAGCTGCCAAAGCCAGCTTCTGGCGGCTTGCCTTGTGGGGATTACGTAATCCTAGACAAGGGCTCTCCGCTGATAACTTCAGCCTCCCCTTAGACTCCTGCTCCTGGGAACGGGCAGCAAAAAGCAGGTGAGACTCTCACCTCCACCGACGTGACAAAGCTGCTGATTTTTATTAGGTAATTTTGCCGGTGGGGCAGTTAGAGACCGTGTGGAAGGAAATGCCGTATTTATGAGGTTATAGAACAAACTCCATTTTTCACGCCCTAAACGGTAATTAGTGTAGCCCCCACATTGGCACTCAGTCATCCATGCCTTCAGTTCTCAGAGGCCAATAAATGTGAATATCCAACCCAGGCGGTGCTGTTAGCCTCCTTTATCTTTCACAGGGGGACAGCTGGGCGGGAGGGGGTGCTCTTCTGGGGATTAGCTCTGGAAACGCAGGAGGTGAGGGGTGAAGTTCAGAAGGTGAGTTTTGTGCCGGGAGACCAGAGGCAGTGTTAATGGATGGGCATGGTGACCACAGTGGACAGGATGCTCCGTGGTTAACACCTACAATGAGTCTATAAACTGTTGCTCTAAAGTCAGTCTCAGTTTGCTGGGGATTAAATACCTGGTGAGTGCTGGCCTGAGCTTCAGGGGCTCTAAAGCCTGACCCACACCCACCCACTGGGTGTTTTCACCCGAAAGTGTCAGATGTTGTCATTGACTCCGTGGGGTCTGCCTCCATAGCTCTTCATCCCTGGGATCAAGACCTACACATCTCCTGGTCTAGGTGTCACTTAGGCGCTGTAAGTCACCTGCAGCCATTTAAATGTAAATTCACCGAGATCCCATAAGTCAGACCACTCAGTTTTTCTGCCTCATTGGCCACGTCTCAGAACACTTTGGAGCCACATGTAGCCAGTGGAAGCTGTAGAACATTCTGGCCTTAACAGGAAGTTTTGCTGGACAGCATGGGAGCCGGACAGCCATGGGACATTCGTGGTCTTAAAATCAACCCTCCTCCTCGCTGATTGCTCTTACTTCGCCTGGCCCTGGAGGATCTAGCTTCAACTTGCTTATTAGAGCAGAAATGCTTTGGTTCCCTCCTGGCTTTCCAATGGGAAAAATAGAATTTTCCTTAAGTACATTGCTGACTTCTGTCTGCCCAGTTGCTTCTTCTACTCCTGGGAAGCAGACTTTTACCAACTGTTGTACTATCTGGTTAATTGGGGGAGAATAATTGTGAAGCTGTCTTCTGGGGACACCAGTTCTGCTGTCTCTCCAGGGCTCTGCCCCCCATGCTGGGTAGGGTGCCAGGGCATCCTGAACATCTTCTGTCTGCCTTTTAAGCCACTCCTCAACATCTTGCTTCTTATGGGAGAATCAGCACAGCATAAAATCATATTCATAGCAGAATGAAAGCAACATCTGAGGCTGGGCACCGGTGCGACGTCAAGGACACAGGGAACAGCGCAAGCAGGTGACATTGGCCAATTCCCTGCCGTTTTTGCAGCCAGCACATGTCCCTTAGGTCACACCCATGACTGCATGTGGGTAGGAGACCTCTCGACCAGCGGATGAAGGAGTTAAAGGTCACATTTGGTTTGCAGATGAGTTGACCCTTCTGTGAGTCTAGGTTGAAAATGGCCTGCTTCAGTACAGCCCCACTCAGGGGTAACCCTGAACAACAACAACAAAACAGTGAAGATATTGGGGGAGGATACATGGTCATACGGTTTATGTAGAAAAAGAAGTAGTATACAGTAAAAGAGCCAGGATGCCCACTTTCAGTGATAAGAGGCATGTTAGGCTGATGATGACCGAGGAGGAGAAAGAATGTAGGATTAGGAATTAAGAAGTCTAGGGAAGAAGTAAGGGAAGAAGTATAAGAGGAGTAAAATGTGTGACAAGCTTTGTGTTGATACAGCAAGCCTCTGACACAAAAGAAACAACTAACCACCAACTAGGCAGAGTGGCTTGGTCACCTGACAGAGTGGAAATTATGCATGACCCAATACCATGGAACTCTTCTTACTGAAGCTAATTTGCTACTGATAAATATCCAGACGTCTAGGAACAGCCACGCACACTGAGCCACTGGCTTGGCTCCATCCTCAACGGAGATCAACCATCCAGTTGGTGGCAGATGATTACATTGGATACCTTCCATCTTGGAAGAGTCAGTGATGGGTATTGACTGAGTCAACATGTACATTAGGCACCAAGACTGTCATTTTTGCCTAGAGGCATCTGTCAGCATGACTATCAAAGGGCTACAGCGTGCCTGGCTCACTGGTCTAGGAGTCTATTTAACATTATAGTGGACTGAGGAACCTGGGTAAAGCCAAGGAGGTGTAGCAGTAAGGCCCATGATCATAGTCCCCATCGGCCTTATCACAACCAGCCAACACCCAGATGATGAAGTCTGATCAAGTGGTGAAACATTTTTTTTGATTACCAGTGAGGACACAGCTTAGAGATGGACCTCATCCTCCATGGCACAGTGTCCATCCCCAGCCAGTAACAATTTCACGGGCAGCTTCTGCATAGGCAGCATTGTGAATATGGGAACCAAGGAACAGAAACAAACGTGACCCTGCTTATATCAGGCTGCATCATCCTTTCAAGAATCTTTGCATCATTTTTACTATAGCTTCAGGTTTCTAGGTTTGGAAGGTCTCAGTTTCCTCCAGAACATTTCCTCCAGAAAACTCAGCAGGAGCCTTACTAATTCTGATTACGTTGTTGCCAGACATTTATGCCAAGGTCTGCCATGCAGGGGGAGTAGCCTCCACCCTACCCAGCAAGAGTAAGGAATCCTGATGATCACTAAGAAGCAGGTCTGCTGTCTCACACCAGGGTGGCCTGGAAACTCCTTCATTTATCTTTAATAGTAAATGGACAAATGTAACAACCATAGCCTAAGAATGGCTCAGATCTCATTGACAAAGGTCAGAGTGACCCACCAGGTAAACCACTGGGAATGTGCATGTGTTTGTATATGCATCTGCCTTGTTATGTTGGGAAAACACTACTGTTTCCTTGAAGTCAACCACTTACAATCTTTCTGACCCCCTTTCTGCATGGATTCCCAAGCCTTTGGGGAGGGGTGTGATATAGATATCCCACTTAGGGCTAAGAACTCTGGTCCCGATTGAGGATCCAAGATGGCGGAGAAAAGCAGACGCAGGTAGGCCTGTGGCAGCGGCCCGCGGAGGTGGATGGGCCCGGCGGCAACAGCCGACAGGGATATTTAGACCCGGTGGCAGCTGGCGGAGACATTCAGGCCCAGCGGCGGCCCACAGAGGTGGACAGGCCCTGTGGCAGAGATAAGTAGACGGAGGTCAACAGCTTGGCG